TGATGTAGAGTAACTACTGATATAACTGATTATAACGTGAAATCACCCAAAATTAGCTAGCGAAAAACAGTGCCTGGGAATGAATTTATGTGCATATTAATAGCGTAATTACTTTTTAAGGAGTATTTATGCAAGTAGAAGAAGGCAATTATTCTCATTTTGAAAAATTAGCATTGCAAATTTATTGATTTTTCAGGTCTGTACCTTAGGAAACTGTTCACTGCGGCGATAAGATCTGCTAATGAAGTAAGAGCTTCAAAATAATTAGCTTTTACCCCATTCTCTCGCACTTTCTATAATTTATAAATAGCTTCCCTAAAGGAATTTTAATCAGTTTATCTTGGCATTTTTTTTAAATAAACATATAATTTGCTCGCGTACGTCTTTTTTATCAAATTTACAAATTAAATTGGTTATTCGCGGCATATTGTAGCAATAAAGCACATCTGCGGCAGATGTCGTCTGGTTTATTACAATTTGTAGGATATGTAAGACACCGTTGTAACGCCCCCTTACACAATTTGGTTTAATAAGAATCTCTACGAACGTGTTACTGTGTTTATCTTGCTTTTACTTCAGGACGATTTTGCGGAGGAATTCTTTAAAAATGCAACTCGCCCGTAGGAAATAGCTCGGGTGGCGTGCTCAGATGTTGCATTTATATTTTGTGACTTTCCGTATTTGATATGATTTCACGATGTCAGAGATAAGAGTGACTTGAAAATTACTGTAATTTAAAACCCCCTGCCTCATTTCTCAACCGCATTTTTATAACATTATTTTTCATTTCCATATAAAATCCTACACAATGTTCGCATTAGAATATTGCTTGGAAATTAGACATGTGCTAGTCGTATGAGAGATTGCTTAATACACTTTCATTATCTAATGCATTTTCAGAGGAAGTACTGCAAGTGCCAAGTAATATTAATTGCACGTTTCGTATTCATGAAAAAAAAATCGCAATCGGTGAAAATATTCGCTGAAGAATGATGATGATATCGGCTGTAGAAATGTGTCCATTTTAATAATGGTGCAGCTGCTTTATAAAATTCTTGAGATAATTTTGTAAGGTTATTATAATATTCCCAATAAAATAATATTTCTCTCTATTAAGTTTTATCTACGGTAATTTCATTTGTTTTACTTTCGTTAGCATACGAAGAGCAAACGATTCTTTTTTGTACCTAAAGTACTTTTATTTAAGAAAAATATTGTCGCCCTGATAATAAGTGCAATTCATTGAATATATCTCTTTCGCCATTTGTTTTTAGATTGGACCCGAGCTCCGAAGCTACTTGTTTATAGCATTGAATAATAAATCTGATTTATTAGATTTATTATTCAATGTTTATAGTAACAATTACTTTTATTTTTATTTGATCTGTTTTCGTGCATTCGTATATATGACAGTGATACATCCATTGCTATTTTGCCACTTCCTATTTTTTTGGTGACACTGCTTGTTAATATTGAAAAGCATTCACACACCCACTATGCAGAAACATGTTCTTATGACGTTTGCGTCCTTTTGATCTATTTATACAGGGTGTCGCAGGTCCCCAATAATTGAATTTCATAAAAATAATGGTAATAAATGTGTAATACCCCAAACTTCAGTTCTAAATTAAAAGAGTAAGGGCCTATCGTTTCTAAAAAATCAAATTCTTTTTACTTTTTACAGTAGATAAAAATTTTGATTTTACAGTGTGAATTTAGTTAACAGTGCATATATGTGCAAGATATTTACAATGGTAAGTAAATGAAAGTTAGCGCTAGAATAAAAAAGTGGGTTGCTCCTATAGTTAAGGGCTAAGTGAATTGCAAAAGCGAGTGAAAGAGAAGAAATTCAGTGCCAATAATCTTCGCCGCAAAATAGCAACCAATAATTATTGTTTTTCTACAAAAAGAAAAGTAAAAGGTAAACATTTTGAACTAATATTTTTCCCAATTATGGTTACAAATTATTGACAATTAATGAGATATCAGCGAAATAGAAATGAACTGGAGCTGGCCTGAAGTGCGGATCATGGTCATGAAACAAATTGCGTCAACCATCTGTGTGCAAATTAGAGCTTTATACCAGGTGTCTGATTAATTACGGATATCATAAATCATGATTAGGTTGAAAACGCGATCACCTGATCACGCTATAGGTATTAAAAATTTAATTTGTATTAGTTACACGAAGAACATCAATCGTTTAAATCATTTCATTAATATATTCAAACAAGTCAATTTATATGAGTATTTATTTGAGAGTGATCAAACCAGAGCATCGGGTTTTTGAGTTGCAGATTATAAGAGGAGATAAAGAACCAACGTTTCACAAGGTAAAGTAATTAAAGGTTTATGTGTTACTAGCTAGTTGTGGTATTAATTATTTTATTGCAAAAGATTAATTTTGATAGTATAATTTCTGCCAGTGCCGTAGAAAATAAATTTTATTTGAGGAGCGCAAGGTATTCAAGCCCTGTAAGTGTAACTAGCCCGTTACAATTATTCTTTTGGCTAAGTGTACTGCCTTCCTTCCGAAACAGTTGTGCACAGTTCACGTAAACGATTTTGAAGTTGGTGATAAGTAGCCCAAGCTCCTTTAGGCATTAATCAATTATTTATAACCGAAACATAGCTCGGAAAATTTGGTTCTTCTCGTTTGTTCTAAGCTTGTTATTCGTCCGAGAGCTCTCTTCTGCAACAGCGCTTATTAGATTCAAGGTAAGGTGTTTTATATTGTTACCCTTACTTGTTCTTTGAAATATTAAAAGGAACCACAAATGTTTATTCTGTCTATAAAGCAATCGATTTCGGGTTAACCACCCATCATCATTGTTTTATAGAAACAATAAACATTTGTGGTTCCTTTTAATATTTCAAAGAATCTCAACGAACCAAAAAATGGAGAACTTCATTACATATACTATTTTTGATCATCGATGCAAAGTTTTGCTTGAGATATTTTACCTTTTGGGAATGGTGAAATTGAGAACATTAACTTACTTGATCATTATTGAGTTAGGGGATTTATTGAGGTAATAGTTTTGATATATGTGAATTTATATATTGCATTCGTATATTTAATTTAAATTTAATTGGGTTTGATGATCGCTCAAGAACGATATATCAGTGTTTCGGTAGTGGATTTGATTGTTACTTCCCTTGTATCGTCCCAGTTTTATATAGGGAGAGTTAAACATTTAAAGAAACTGGGTGACGTTCAATGAAGAAACTACGAATCAACCGCTGTGGAGAATCTACGCTCCTTTTTACTTTACATCCCCGAGCTATCCAATTTTTCTAAGGCACCTCCGCCTCCGTAATATTGTTAGTGCTATCAAAAAAGTAGTATAGACGTCATATGCTCCTTTTGGGTCAAACGTAAATTGACAAAATCAAAATTTGAAAATATTCGCTTTCTTAAGAGATACGAGCAAAAAAATGGCAATTTCTGAATGGCCATATGGTTATTTAGTTAAAAGGGACACTGAACGTTTATTACCACAGTTTCTTTATAATAAGCTGTTTTCAGTGTACGGGGTCAGGTAAAAAAGTTATCGGAACAACGTCATTTTTTTTAATCGAACATCCCATATATTTTAATATAAAAAGGGAGAATATTAAATTCCTTTTTTAAAAAATATAACACACCCAGGACTACATTAGAAAAAGATTCAGGTGATTCGCAACATTTCAAACAAGATTTAAAACGATTTAAAAAATACAGAAAGGTCCAAATGATTCAAAAAAATACACAACAATTTCAAAAAGATTATTACATTTTTCTAAATTTTTTATAAATTTTTTTCAAGTTTTTAATGATATATTTTTGAAAAGGGAGCTTAATATGCTACTGGTTAGATTAAAGGATACAAGGCGTTCCATTTAACAAATAAAGTTAGGTTCTTCTTCTTTTTGGAGTCCCTAATTCTAACATTAGTTGGATGCAGTCCTCCGCCCTTTCCTATTCTGCGCTAATCTTTTCACTTCTACATAACTACCCTTGCCTACGTCCCTAACTATTTGGTCTATGTCGTCGTCCTACCCCTCTCTTGCCCTCTGTCCTACCTTCTATAGGTAGCTGTACTAATTCTCCGTGTCTAAGCATGTGCCCTATCATCTCGTCTTCTCTGCACGGTTTTCCACATTTCCCTATTCTCCAAAACTCCTTCGTTTGTTTGTTACCCTATCCGTCCAGATAATCCCCATTATCCCTCTATAGCACCGCATTTCGAATGCTTCTATCCTACTTTTGTTTGCCCTGTCTATCGTCCAGGTTTCGCACCGGTATAGAGCTACACTCCATATTTACGTTTTTAGCAGTTAGGTCCGATAACTTTTTTACCCGACTCCGTAAAAGCAGCATGTTGATGAAAAAATAATTATAAAGAAACATTCGTACTATGTAAACATTTTTTTCGTATCTCTTTTAACGAAGAAAATATAGGGCCATTTTGAAATTGACAATTTTTTAAGTTTCACCCGTATCTCTTAATCGAAGCAAAATTTTCAAATTTTGATTTTACCATTTTTAATTTGACCCAAAAGGAGCACATACTCCGTATATTAGTTTTTTGATAGCACTAACCATTACGAAGATATCTCATAGGTAAGTCTCGAAAATGGGACACCCGCGTACGTGTAATGAAATGAGTGCGTAAGTAATAGTATAGAAACGTCAGGGTTCTTTCCATGATGGATGATATGCCAATTGCCAATTTTTGGAAAAACCGCATGGGTTGCTGGTAGAGTGTTTCTATTGTATTGTAGGTAGCGGAAATGCCGGCCGCAATTTTATTTTATTGCGAGAGTTTGATAAGTTGCCTAACCTAACAAGTACAATCCTTGAATCTCAGGGCATAAGTTTCAAGTTGCTTAGTGCGAAAAACTAAAAATTGCAATTATTTGTCGGGGTGGAAACGCCACACAATATTAATAAATGTAACGCAGCGGCAATAAGTACACTCTTAAAGAGTCATAAAATGGAAACAAAATAAGCTTACCATTTGAATAACCGGACAATAAATCCCGTAGCTGGTTCGTCGGTCCAGATACTTCAACGGCGGATACACGTACTGAAAATCTAGCTCCCGTCTTCTGTTTCTGTTCATTAATTCCTCGAAATAACCACGAAATTGCGCAAGGAATAATGCCCAGCGTATTTGCATTTTCGGGCGTGCCGAGCATGGTGTACGATTTGCCTGAAAATAAAATGAAAATTGTAAAGGTTGTCGGTACACGCATTCAAAGGGTTAAACGTCCACCTATGTAGATATGAATTCGCCACCACGCTTGAGGGGTAGATCGCTGATGGAAACAGTTGACCTGCCAATTGATCTCGGGGGAACAGTTACTGCGAGGGAAGCCGATTATTTACTGACAAATTGCTAGAGTTGGACGTCCACTACCTATAAGGTACTTAAAGTCCCGTTTCAGATCTAGAAATTCAAATTCAATTAAAAGAAACGACAGGGCGGCAGTAAATCACCCCCTCCACTTAAACGCTTGTTAATTTAAAGCTAATTAAGTCGGCAAACACGGCCGAAAGATGATTGATCTTTCTTCATTAACCCTAATCTGCTAACTGGAAAACATCAGTAACGGCGCTGATACTTATTAGTTAAATTAAACGGGGCATGATTAATATTACTGTCTCCGCTAACTTCGTATAGTTGGATGAGCCGAACTGGGCCCCCTCGACTTTTCAGCAAACTTTCCAAAACGAAAGTCGATTTCGAAATATCTGTAATCCTGTATAGCAGTAAAGTAGATATCTTCTTTTATAGGAAGTATTTATTCACGCAGAGGATTAGGGGCTTATAGGCTCCTGAAAAATGGCGAAACCAATATAGTATTTTGTATGCATGCATCGCTTTGCTAACGCAAAGGTTTCATCAAATTGCAAATTTTTCACGTGCTTCGCACGCATTGTTCGCTTTCATAAAATATGTTCATACATTTTTATTTGTAAAAATTCGAGGCTATTACATTGAAATGAGTTGCTAGTTATTAGACGTATTCGATGTCTTTTTATTCGAAGGAATACCGGCGAGATTAGGTATTAGCGTAATAGTGAATGGAGTAGTTCGCAGGCGGTAACGAGATTTAAATATAATGCGGAAGTTTTGCTTCCGAAGGGTAACGCTAGTTGTAATAACACATTTACATGCAAAAGCGATTCTGGAAAAGGCAAATGTTCGAGCGACAAGATCTGAACAGAAGCGTCCCGTCACATTTTATTTTATTTATGGGGAACCCTTTGTTACCGTCACAGCGGCATTTCGAATCAAATTTATTTCGTTTCGATATCTTCATTTGTCAGCTAAATGATTATTCCCACTGCACAGGTATTTGATGTGTTCATTTACAGTTACCGATAGGTAGGTACAACTTTTCTTTAATTATCTTGTCAACACTCGAGCCTTTATTATAACGCCTGTCTGAGTTTGCCATAACGAGCAATTTGTAATAGTAATTAATGTGTTAATGTCTGCAATTTTATCTAAGATGTATGCCATAGAAAAGATACGTTAATTTATACTTAACGATTGAATGAGCGAGCATCGATATGTCATAATAACCACATTAAGCGATGGCATAGCAGCTACAACATAATTAATTAAATGCTGTTGGTACGTTGCCTTCATCAGAAAATATCATCCTAGGCGAACAAAAAACGTACTTGTACCAAAGCGTACCCATTGTATTCTGGTTACTCTTTGCTTGTACTCTCATTTTCAAGTTGTTCCTCAAGTTTTAGAGCTATATCAGTGTATTTACGGCGTTTTTTTGCATGGGCTTTAGTGAAATTGTTAGTGACTTGTATTTTATCTATAAGTATAAACTGGTCTATTCTTTTTTAATTTCAAATGGGCATTGAACGGGAAAACTTGATCGAATGGTCATTTTAATGTTTCTTATTGTAAATTAAGTCGGAAATTGTTTAATTCATTTAATTTTAGTTCTTGTATTTAGTTTGTATGATAAATGTAGAACGCATAAATAAGGGAACATTTAATCGTAATGTTGTAAAGCTTTTAGTGGGTCAGGTGTTAGTAAAAAGTTTATTGTCGGACAAAAATTAATTGGTTTTGTGATAAACAATGGCACGTGCGAGATAAGCAACGCAGGTAGTTATCAGTTCGGATGCCGGTGATGGAATTTCGAGTATCGTCGGGAACTACGATGTAGATTTTAGGACGTGATGTTTGCTTAAATAGAAAGGATTGGAAAGTAAACGGGCTGTTGAGCCGAACCGTAGTCGTTTTCATGTTAACAAAGTAATGTGGAAACAAGTTCGATTTGATGAAGAAGTTTACTCATGGTATTTCGAGTTTAAAAACTTTGTCTTTTTCAAGGAAAAAAAAACAATGATTGTAATACAAGAAAAATCGTCTCATCTGAGCAGTCATAAATTTGAGTGTTTATTCTCTTCGAGCCTGTTTTGGCATTTTAAATATGAGTCAGTCAGATTCGTGTGAAAGCGAGTTTTTTCAGATCATTTTTGTCCTGACCAGTTTATAGATTATTATTAACAGAACTGTGAGTATATTTTGAGATCTATTAAATTGTTTTTTGATTTTGATTTTGATTTTGATGTTAGCCTTAAATTTTTCTTACAGGATTTTTGTATTTGATTTTCGTTTTATGATGTGTGAATTAAATTCTTGTAATTTCTTGTTATCAATTCATTATGTGTCAATTTGAATCCCAATTTGAAAGCCAGATAGAATGTTATCTTTCTGTGTCAGATTTCTTTACATTTCTTTTTATCTGAATGTTATTTCCAATTTTATTCAAAATTTGAGTGGTCATTTCACTGGAATGGAATTTGATTGCTGCTATATGATGCTATTTCAAGTTTAAGTAGGTATACAGGGCCGATCCTGGACCAGGTCAGGTCGCTTGCCCTTGGGATGCAGGTCAAGGACATGTGTCGCCTCCTGGTGGCGACCTTGGGAAGTGGACCAAGGTCACGTGCCACGTGGCGGTTGACCTAAGGGTATTGACATTTTTGGGGTGTCAAATTACATTCTTAAGGTCATCAAAACTTTCAGGGTTACACGAGGTTATTGACACCATTTTTTGTGGTGTCAAATTACATTTTCAAGGTCACCCAAGGTCATCGATCACTTAAAATTTTAAGGTGATCCGAGGTCATGGAGCCAATTTTTGGCGGTGTGAAATTACCCGAGGTCATTGACCCCCATAAAATTTTAAGGTAACCCGAGGTCATTGATCCCATTGTGTGCAGTGTCAAATTACATTTTTAAGACCATCCGAGGTTATTGACCCCATGCATTTTCAGGCCCATCCTAGGTCATTGACCCCATTTTGTGTGTATCAAATTACATTTTCAAGGTCATCCGATGTCATTGACCCCATAAATTTTCAATTTGACAACACAAAAAATGGACTCAATGACCTAGAATGGCCTTGAAAATGTAATTTGTCACTACAAAAAATTGGGTCAATGACTTCGGATGATCTTGAAAATTGATGGTGCCAACGACCTTGGATGACCTTGAAAATGTAATTTGCCACCACAAAAATGGGGTCAACGACTTCGGATGACGTTGGAAATGTAATTTGACACCACAAAGAAGGTCAATGTCCTCGAGTAATCCTGAAAATTTTGATGACCTTGAGATTGTAATTTGCCACCCCAAAAATGAGGTCAATGCCATTGGGTCAACCGCCACGTGGCACGCGAGCTTGACCTACTTCCCAAGGTCACCACCAGGGGACGAGGACGCGTGACCTTGACCTACTTCTCAAGGTGACCACCAGGGGGCGAGCAACCTTGAACTGGTCCAGGATCGGCCCTGTATACCTACTAGTTTATAAGAGTTTTAAGTCATGATAAGATTTTTGTTGTGTCGGAACCCAGTCATTCCATGAGAAAAGTAAGAAAATGAAAACTAAATTGTGTAATTTTAGCTGGTTAGCTAGGTGTCTGTTGGGTGGTATACTGACCCCATGCTATTACTCACAGCAATATGTACGAGGCCTGTTCAAAAATTGCGTAGACTGTTTGAATTACGCGGACGCAGTTGGTTCCAGGGAAATCCGCTTGGTGTCACTGCCTTTGTACAAATCAGCTGATTACCAAACAGTTTGTTGAATGCAAATATGATTATTGGTTGATTAGCTATACGCGGTTGCTAGTGAAGTGTGTTTTTCTCGTTTAGCGGATTTTAGAATGAGTGACTTGAACGAGCAAAGGGTTGCTGTGAAATTTTGTGTTAAACTCGGAAAATCTGAGAGCGGAACTTTTGATATGCTCAAGACGGCTTACGGCGATGTTGCTATGAAGTTGCGAACGTGTTTTAAATGGCATGATAGTTTCAAAGATTGTCGTCAGTCGATTAAAGACAATGCAAGTCCTGGACGCCCTTCTACGTCAACTGATGATTCACACGTCGACAAAATCAACACCCTGGTTGGGCAAATCGACGTCTGAACATCAGAGCTCTTGGTGAAGACCGTGGGATATCAGTTGGATCATGTCATTAGACTTTGATTAAAAAATTGGTGATGCATCGCGTTACTGCGAAATTTATTCCACGCCTGATGACGAATGTAACAATTAGCAAGCCCGGCGAACTTCGTACTGCCTTTGGAAAATCCCGTTTCTTTCCGTACTCGTTCCCGGTTTTCCCCGTTCCCGTGGGCACTTGTAACGGTTTATTTTCTCCAGTACAAGCATTATTATCGTTCACGGTATATTTAGTTGAATGATCCTCGTAATTTTCGAATAGATGGCTCCATTTGAAAAACGCAATTTTAGTGCATCATTAACCAACAGCTGAGGCGTTAGTTGAACCTGAGAACGCATGGAATTATAATATTTTAAAATTAATCCTGTCAATTGGATTCATTAAATTGGAGATTCTCGAATAATAGTGAACGGATTCGCTTAAAAACTCCAATAGGGAGGATATAATTGCGTTTTTTATCGTAAGTATCGCCATTCGCATTTCATTTAATTGAAGTGTACCATTTCTTGGCTGTCACCTTTTATACGACAATTTTCCATAGACGATTGTTGCTTCATCCATAATTAGCCCTCTTATTTAAGTAGTAGGTATGTACAATTTAGTTTATCAAGAAGGAGGGGTTTCTTCCTATTTTCTATTTCTATCTTTTTCATCTAGATGGATTAGCGGTTTCAATTTTTGGTGTACGAATCCTCCTTTTTTAATGCCTTTAACTGTTTCTCCGTACAGAGGTAATACAGCAGTTCCAAAGTTACTTGGCGGCATTCATCTCGAAATACAACTGTAGTCTATGAGTTACCGTATCGATGACCTTAGATACCTTCTGGACTGGAGGAGGTCCAGCTAACTTACCATGTATTTCATGTACTTAATGTAAGGACTTCGAAACGTTTTACAATTTACAAGTGGGAAACGACGTGGAGTTGTTTTTAAATTCCCTTGAGTTGGCCACTTTTAAGTATATTAGATTAACATGTTAAAATTATGTAAACTCAAGAGATACTCCCTCGGATAACTAACTTTGTATATTGTAGATATGATGTAAAATGTGTGTTTAGCGTTGTCCATAATTACCCCCCTTTCTCCAGATTTTTCCACCATGTTGACCCTCTGTGAGCAATGATTCGGAATTTCCTTCGACTCTTTGCGCATTTTTTATTCATTTTGCGCTTTTGCTCAATCACATTCAATAATCTTGTTTTTGCGTTTCAATAAGTGTGCTATTTGCCTTCCACCTTTCCGATAGTAAGCTTGGGTACGAGTGAGTGCGACCTGGTCTTTCGCGAATTTGGGAACCCGGTCATTGTCGACCTGTCTACTTCGGTACATCAAAATGGCAAAGAATCATAGTTGCACAAACCTTAGAAAATCTACCTACTTACTTCCTTCACCTCAACTTGGAACTCATCTTTCATATGAAATCCCCCGTGTCAGCTAGGGGATTCATCCTGGTTCAAAATTATACGAATCTCACAACTAACAATGTAGCAGCCAGAAGTCAAGGAAGAAGGTCAATACATGAAGCCGTCAATGAAATCCCATGTGTGTTGGAACCTCTGGATGTTGCAGGAGGAGGAGGAGATGTTGCAAGAGACACATGTGTTTATACTTTTACTGTGGGGACGCCGAAAAGAAGAAATTGGAACAAGTACTCTGAACTTGAGGTTGCAAATCATTCTGTTCCTGCGGTTATGGAGACTACTGGATACCTTGAATCTTTTGGACCAGACGTTGGTGGAGAGTACCCAGGAACCTGCCTATTCAGCGTGGAAATGCAGCAAAGATACTGGGAACACTTCTTTGGCAGAAGGATGGAGGACCTCATTTAACATTCTACTTTTAATGAAATCGATTTCAAATAATTCTTATAAATACAATGTGTTTTCAAATTAAATTACGTACATTTCTAATTAAATTTGTATTATGTACAACAAAGGTTGGCCAAATACCATCCTCACAGGTATAATTACAACAATTCATTTATTGACGGTAAAATAAAGTGCACTACTTGATATGTTAAATAATCGAATGACCGCTTGATTGTGAAAACGCAATAAAATGAGTAGGTGGAAACATCGATTTTTATACCTATTCGTTTTCATTTTCGCGAATTTACCCTCGCCGTCCTTTAATTGATAATCGTGTGGCTCTGAAGATTTAAATTCCATTAGCAACGCATGATTTTCCCATTTTTAATCATAACGGATGGAAATGATGTGGAATTTTTAAACGCAGTGCATCTTTGTCGTGGACTTATTAATGCAATTACATGTTGAAAGTGACGTGCACGTGTAGGTAATACGGCCACAAATCATTCAGTTTTAAATGAACTCATAAATAACACGTGGGAAATTGTGTAACGTATAGGCAATATTGGGGCACGATATTATTCAAAGCTTGGTCAACACGTAAGGGTGCAGCAATTTTGGGGTTTTAATTAAAAGGAAAGACTTACCTAATCCGGCGTGTCCAAAGCAGAAGAGACATCCATCCGTACCATTAATTACGGCATGGATGACATCCGTAAGAGCGCTTGAGCACACCTCAGTCTGCAATCAAATCACTCTGATCAGCACGTATTTCATTACGCTTCCCAACTTAACTAATAATTTTCAGTGTTTGCATGCATAAAGATTAGTGCGAAGATTGTAGTAACACCACTGTAAGTGGATGGCACATCAAACATACAGAGAGCTCACATAATGTAAGGCCATAATAACGAACAGATTTACAACCTAAGATAACTTGTTCATTTATGTAATGACACAATAAAATTTCTTACTGTGCTTTCATTTCCCATTTAACATTTTTTACTTCTGATTTTAATCTTTGGGCGTTTAACGCGAGGTCGCAAAAACATTTTTGAGTTGGACGTCAGCTGCCAATTATACAGCGCAAATCGAGCGAAGGCATCGAAACTGTCTCATAGTAATACATCTGTAAACCGAATAGAAGCAAAGGAAGGTAAGTAATAAACAGCATCTGTAAAGGTACTGGGTGTCAGCTAATGACTGAAGGTTTATCATTCCGACTTCCGACAACCCTTAAGCAGGGCCCGAAGATAAGTGTTTATTACCAAATTGAGCGTAAAACATAAAAAAAAACTCGCCTGTCGATTATAAAAACGCGCATTACAAAATATAGTAAAAGAACGCGAATTGAAAAGTTGGCACTAAGTGCCGCACTTAAGAATCTGGAATCTTAAAAAGATTGAACAAGACTTCTACATTTGTGTCCCCCTGCAGTTTGATTGTTTCCCAAAGTAGGAACGAGACAAAAATGCGAGGGTGCAATGCGACACCACGCTGAAATAATAAATTGTGGTTTAGTACCACCTATCAACGTAAGTGTTCTTACCCGAAAATTCATTATTAAGCATAAAGAAAACTTGCTTTTCATGTTAAGAAATTTACTGCGCCAATTCCCCGCCAAGAATAAATTACCTACAATGGCATTGTTTAAATAATAATTAAAAGCTTTTATTGGAAGGCCCTGTAAGAAGGTGTATATAATCTAATGAATAAAGATCGCAAAAATAATTAAGAGGGCAAACGCCGTTAAATAAGGGAATTTGTACAATATTAAAATGTGGGACCCCGTCGCTTCTTTCATTAATATTAATTTGAGATATTAAAATTACATTTATCTAAATGAACCCTATACCGCGCCAGTCACCTAAGACGAAATTTAAAACGGAATTTTCACCCCGACAAACTTCAATTAGTTTTTCACATTGTGGGTCAGTGCGCTTTTTTTTGCAGATAAAAATTTCGCATTTCGTTTAGTGACGAATTTCGCTAGTTCTTTGCTACGTTAAGTACAAGAAACCATCTGCTCGATCGTGACGCATTTTTTACACATAAGTATGAAACATTTTTCTCCAATCCCCATCACATATTTTTAACTACTAACCCAACTAACTTCTGCAACTTGTTGATAACAACTTTTTGTTTTATGCTTAGCAGTTCAATATTTTTAGCGCATTTTCCAACGATGTTGGGTGCGCTATTGCCGCCACTTTCTCTGTCCGTCCGTCTGTCCGAGGCCTTAACTACTCCTACAGTTTTCAAGATATTTAGTTCGTTCCTTTTGCATTCGGTAGCGTATCGCTCTGGCACCTGAGTCAAGGAAAATCTTGACGATTGAACTGCGCATGCGCAGGCTGCGCGATGTTAACTTTTTTATTTCTTAATATATTTTGTTGAAATTTTAATCACAGACACTTGTAGTAAAGGCAAATATATGGCATATAGTAAAAATCAGATGTGCGCAAGCGCAGACTGCGCAATGCCAACTCTCTTATTTATGGAGATATTTCTTTAAAATTTTAACCATATATGCTCATAGTAATAAAAAACATAGCGTAAATAGGTATGGCCTTTGGGGAAGTATTGATCAATTTGTGGAAAATGCGCAGTTTATTCGCGCAACATGAAAGAAAGGCCTTGTGTAGCCAAACAGACACGGGTAAGTCCCAAAAGCAAAACATATTTCTGTTAAAATTTTCGTGAATATGTTCCTTTAAACTTGCAGATAACTCGTTCACCTTCAGCCACAGAAGATGTTAAGAATGATCTAATTCGTTATATGCTTCGTTCTGGAAATGCAACATTATTTACAATGAAAGTGTTTTCATTATTCGAAGGATGTACCGAAAGTGTAATGGCAACATAAACGTGACAAAACGAGTCAAACTATAAATAGGTAATTTCGAACGTTTAACGAATTACGCATGGAAAGAGGATGGTAATGCTTGATCAAAAACTTGACCGGTTTACTTGTTTTCACAGTTTAGGTGTCAAATTACATTTCCAAGGCCAATGGCCCCATTTTTGATGTCAAATTACATTCGCAAAACCATCCAAGATCAATGGCCCCATTTTTGTCGGGTCAAATTACATTCCCAAGGTTATATAGGGCCAATGACCTCATTTTGTGGATGAAAGTCATATATCACAGGTCATCTAAGGTCAATGTTTGTTTTTGCGTCAAATTATATGTTCACTGTCAGACAAGGTCAACGACTCCTTTTTTTTGTGGTGTTAAATTACATTTTCAAGGTCATCAATGACCCCATTTGTTGCTGTGTAAAACTTTACTGTCAAGGTTATCCAAGATTATGGCACCATTTTGTGTGTCAAATTACATTTTTAAGGCTATCCAAGGTTTATGGTCCCATTTTGGTGGTGTAAAATTACATATCAAAGATCATCAAAGGTCAATGGCAATTTTTTGTGGTATCAAATTGCATTTGTAAGGTCATGCAAAATGAATAACCCCATTTTTTGTGGTGTAAAATCCATAGTTTCAGTACAGCTGCAAGATTCATGTATGTGAAAATAACCATCACCGGCACTTTCCACATTTTGACTACTAGCACTGCCATCACCACTGTTTTGACGAGGTACGAAGCACATTAAACTATTATTATTTACATTGATCGCTCCACTATATTGCCCCCTGCATTTTATATATTTAAATGATGAGTTCACTTGTTCACAATTTAATTACGTTACACCTAAATATTTTTCAGTGGGCGCCCTGATTAAAACTTGTACAACACAAATTACGACGATGAAGAAAACGTTATATTCGTCCATTTGCCGACTGCGCTCGAACTAACCATGTACGCATCACTTGTATTAACATGATGACCTTGAAAATGTAATTTGAAGCCATAATAAAATGGTCCACTGACCTTGGATGACCTTGAAAATGCAATTTGACACCACAAAAATTAGAGCATTGGTCTTTAATAACCTACAAAGTTTAATTTGACACCACCAAATGGCGCCATTGATCTTGTATGACCATGGGACTGAAATTTGACACCATGGTGCAATTGACCTGGAATGCCTTTGGAAATGTAAGATGTCACCACAAAACATGAGGTCATTGCCCTTGGATTGTCCTGAAAATGTCATTGGACACATTGATATCGGAAATGTAATTTGACACCCCAAAAATGAAATACGATCATCAAGGGATACCACCCACCGTGACTTACTTTACAACGTCACCATTGCTCTCGAGCACTTTTCGGAGCGGCCGCTTGGTGCTCGATACTCGAGCGTTTACTTAAAGTGCTCGGCGAACGAGCGTTTTTTTCTGCCCGCGAGCGGTTTTTCAGCTCATGAGCGCGTTTTCCGCTCGCGAGCGCGTTTTTCGCTCCTGAGTGTTTTTTTCGCTCGTGAGAAATTTTAACCGCCCTCAAAAGCAACTCGGTGCTCGGGAGCATTTTTGAGACAATTAGAGCGCTCGTCGCTAGAGCGGTTTTTTAGAACGCTCGACCCAGCTCTGCTGTCCGAGATGTAATTGGATAATAAAGCGAGTTATGAAATGATACGATCCAACGGATCATTTAGATTTCCTAAGGGGAACCTCATCCCTTGAACCTAGGTATTTCATAAAATGATGATTTGCGAAAATTGATTTATTAAGGGTTGCAAATATAAATTAAAACACTAATGTTATAAGCTGGAGTCTTCCCGTCATTACAGGGTTAGTAGGATGGATAAGAGGAATTTTCTCTGAAACGAATAGTTTGATTCTTTGGAAAAAAGTTTAGACATTTTGTACTTTGGTGACAATTATTAAAAACTAGTGTTGAAGTTTTATGTTGAAAAACTTTCAGATACCAAATTTCATCAAAATCAGAATTTTTTACATCCCCAGTTAGGGTTTGGAGTATTGACCCTACTTCTAAGGTTAAATAGTCACTTTATTAGACGAAAAGTACGTTATTTTTGTATGGTATGAATTTTGTAACGGTTTATTTTCTTAATTATAAGTATTATTATTGTTTACGGAATATTTTGTTGAATGAACCTCGTAACAGTCGTAACCTTGGACGAGATGACTTCATCTATCGTTGGAATTTTAACCACGCAATTTGAGCGTGCGTTGCACCCATATGATATGAAACTTTGGCGATTGAATTCTTAATTTGGGGATTCCGCTAATATTGTTTGGACGGATTTTTTTCTAGATAATCGTAAGTCCCCGCCATTAATGCAGTGTCACATTGTAATTTTTATTCATCGACGATTGTTGCATTCATCTGTAATTAGCCCTATTATTTAAAGAGGTATGTACATTTTAAGGTTATCAACGAAGATGGCTGGTTACCTTTGATTTTCTTTTAGGGTTCAAGTTCAAGTCTATTTTCAATTTAATTGCTAGCAGCTTAGCGGACCAGCACAAATTGAATTTAATTCAACTGCAAGGACCAACTTAAGTACGGAGACGCTTTGCCTACCATTCTGTCGACATACGAGTGCGTAACCTTGGGTTAAATTCACCGTGATAAGGAGCGGCCATTTGTTGAAATTGGGTCACTGGGTCATGCCCCAGATTTGATATCAAGGACTCGATCGTTAACCACAAAACAACTTCCGTGATTGTTTAGTATAATAATTGATTATTTTGCCCCTTTATGCTCCCGTATCATCTCAATTTCGTGCGGGGAGTTAGAAATTGAGTGGCGCTCAACCCTCGATAAGTGTACCGACGGCGACGTTAAGAAGATCATTTTACCTAAAACTACCGC